AAAAAAAAAAAAAAAACTTTACTGCCATCAATCGATTCTGACTCATAGCAGTCTTCCTTCCGTGGAGTGGCTGGTGGGTTTGAACTGCCAACCTTTTTGGTGAGCAGTCAAATGCCTTAGGCACTATGCCACCAGAGCTCCTAAGGCACCACCAGGGTCCCTTAAATAAAAGGTTACCCGCCCACTGCCATCAAGTCAATTCCAACTCATAGCAACTCCCACTGGGTTTCCAAGACAGAATCTTTACGGAAGGAGATTGCCCCATCTTCCTTCTGTGGAATGGCTGGTGGATTTGAATCCCCAATCTTCTGGTTAGCAGTCAAATGCCTTAGGCATTGAGCCAAAAGAGTTCCTTAAAATGTTAAAAGTGACCCCAAAAAGGGAGAAGGGGAAAACCAGGCATCAGGATAAAAGACCTACATCAGCATACTATCCAATCAAATTATTAAAATCAATTACTGAATTAAATAAAATAGGTTAAGAGTTCCAACATAATATAGCAAGAGCCTAGGGCATAAGAGATCAGACTCTAATTCTGGTCCTGCTGGGTACTAACTTCTAGCTCTGTGACAGTAACTGGACCATCACTCTAGATTTCCTCATCTACAAAAGAAAATGGCACCTGCTCTGCCAGTTTAATGGGCTACTGTGAATGAAATCAGCTCACAGAATCTTTATTTCACAATAACTTAAATATCAGCTTCCTTCCCATACAGGATTCTCCTCATATCATTCTAATGGGTGGTTAATTATGCAACTTCTACCTGAGTATTTCCAGTAACGAGAATTTCTTATTTCTCAAAAATGACTACTACATTTAGGACATTTCTAATTCTTAGAAAGTTCTTGCTTAGGGAGACCAAATTATGCCTCTGAAATTTCCAACCATTGGTGCTACACAGAAAAACAAAACAAAAAGCCTAACAAGGTAGCACATGATGATACAGATGAATGAAAAGTCATGTTATTCAGAAGAACAAGAAATCACTTTTAATCAGGAAATTTCAGGGAAGGGTTCACTCAGAGGGGCTATCTGCCAGTTCTTAAAAGGTAGGAAAGGTTCTGACCAGTGACCTTCCAAATCTAGGTCAAACCGACTTGAAGCCACCTAACACAGCATTATGTGCAAGGCCGTGGTGTCTGAAGACTGGTGGAGGCTGGCTGGGACCAGATCATAATGAAACCTGAATATTCAGCTAAAGAAGCTGGACTAAAATCTGTAAGCAGTGGCAAATCATTCAAGATCTCTGAAAAGTCAAGCGGCAGATTGAATGTTTAGGAAGATCAGTTAGGTGGCAACAGGCAGGAGACTGGGGAAGGGTGGGGGATGGGAAATGGGGGTGGGGGTTGTGTCTGCGTGCCAATCTGGCCCCTACTTTTTGTTGTTAGAGACTAAAAGTGTGCCTGGATTTGCAAACTGGAAAAGAACATAGGACTGCCCAGGGGAGAAATGAAAAATGCTGCCAGGGTTTTGAGCACACGTGACTAGGCAGTGTTCTATTAACACAAATTACGAAGTTAATTAATATTATTTTGTGAAGGCCAAAACTCAGGATTTTTTAATGTATTTAGTTTTAGCAGCCCACACTGCTGCAGTCCTCTGTACTGTCAAAGCCTTAATATTCCTCTGCGTCCCTAAGAACTACTTCCTGCTAGCCAACACACGTTTAAAGAATGACACGGCTCATAATCCACTTATGTTAGCAAAATTCGCAGGCCATCCAAAGCTGAACTTGGGTAAGCAGTTTTGGATGAGCTGTTCTAAGAATGAAATGGCCAGTGTTACCATCCTCGAGAAATACAAAGAGCCTCCCAGCTTCCTCTGTTAAAAACTTTCTACTTAGGATGAGTAGTTCCAGTTACTCTAAGACCCATCTGGTCAGTAAGATGCCTCAACATCATCTTTGTCCTTCCGAAGGAAAGGACTGCAGTAGACTTCCTCCTGAGCTCTCTCCTTTCCGCATAAGGAGCCAGGCGAGGCCAGGCCCGACCGGGAAGAAAGCGCTGGGGATCATCTTTCACCCCTGAGAGTAAAGGCCGGGTTCCGCTTTCCTAGCCGGCAGTCGGGGTCCGAGGGCGGTGCTCAGGCAGCCCGAGCCTGGTACTGGGAGCAGCAGGCTTCACAGCCTCGCCCACCCCTTCCCCCCACCCGGCGCCGCGCGGTCCCGCCCGCCACGGCCCTTCCAGCGCACCTCGGCCCGAGCCGGCTCCGGGCCCTGTACCGCCGCAGGCTGTGGCTGCAGCTGCTGAGCAGGCGCCGCGGGTTCCTTGTTCCGGTGGCTAAGATCTTCGTCGAGGGCAGCCCGCGCCCCAGCAGGGGCCCACAGCAGCGGTACCAGCAGGAGCAGAAGCATCCAGGACGCAGATGCGCGGCCGCTACCCCGGGCCGCCGCCATCCTGCCGGCCGAGACCGCCGCGCACGGGCGCAGCAGGAGGAAGTGCCGGCGACAGGAAGCCTAGACCCGGAGCCGCCTCCACAGCGCGGCTCTCGTGTCTCACACACCCCGCCGCCGCTTAGTGAGGAGTCTGGGCCATGCAGGAGGTTGGAGCGGCGGGCGCTGGGCTTAGAAGCAGGCCGGGCCGCCAGTTCAGCTCTTCCAAGGCAGCAGCCACACAAGACTCCGCCAACTGTCTCAGTTCAGCCCAGCCCCAACTCCTCAGGCCCCGCCCCCTAACTGAGAACGGCCTCCCATTGGCCCGGCGTCCGCCTCGGCGCCGTGACGTCCTCCGGCAGGTTTAGGTGCGGCTCGCGTCCCCTTGCCATTGGGGCGGATGCCCCAGGCAGGTATCTGGCACCAAGTGACCTTCCTTTCGCGAGTATCCTTTCCGCGCCCCAGCCGGGACCCCTTTCCTCTCTCTTTCCATCACCGTCCCAGGACTGCAGTGCTTTTTACTTCTGCTTTCTCCTAAGTCTTCTGCCCTAACTTACAGACCGACCTCTAATCTTAGCCTTTCCTAAACGTCAAAATAGTTTGAGGCCACTCGTTACGTGGCACTTGCTGCGAGACCCGCCATACCTGGATTCATTCTTGGATTCTCAGTGCCGGCCCCGACGAGGTGATCACTGTTCTTAGGGGGCCAAAATGCAATTTTTAAAAAAATAAATAAATAACTCTGAAATGGAATTTCAGAAACAACTGACAAAATTTTTCAAGCATTTTCAGGTATTTTTTGCTTTAGGTATTGTTTGTAACCTCTCCGAGGCCAAATCATCTAACACTGTCCTTGTCTTGGAACGCCTTTCCGCTTTGGATACACCTGCTTTGTACTGCATCTATTTTAGAATGGCCTCTAACAATGTTTGACTTTTTTTTTATTATTATTATATTATTTAAATTCTTTATTTCATATGCTCATTTCAACAATGTATGTTTGACTTTTAAAATAGAGTGTTTAGGACTTCTGTAGGATGGACTTGGGAGAAGGCAGCAGAAATTGGTTGGGCTCCAGAGTATTTTTACATTTATGAAAAGTTGAGCTACTCAGTTACTAGGAGTTTGACTGACAGCCAGCCCCGAAAGTAATGAACCAAGAGTGCTAACCATGTGCCAGGCATTGTTCTGAGTACTTTACATATAGTAAACCTATACACCCTAAAGAGTTAAGATTATCACTAAACGTATCCACCAAAACAATCTGTTGCAAAGTAGGCAAACCTACTTTGAGTTCACTGTAGATACCATCTTACATCATGAGTTAGTAAGGGTTTCAATTTTAAAAAAACCCACCAGTCACTCCTTGGAAGGAAGGTTGGGCAATCTACTTCCGTAGTGATTACCGCCTTGGAAACCATGAGTCGGATCCAACTCAAAGGTAGTGGGTTTGGTTTTGGATTTTTTTTTTTGGTCAACACCATAATTCAAATGCATCAATTCTTCTTTGGTTTTCCTTATTTATGTCCAGGTTTCAAATGCATATGAGACAATTAAAAATACCCTGACTTGGATTGTTGTTGGATTAGGTGCACCTTAGTCCTTAAAGTGATATTCATGCTTTCTAACATTTTAGAGAAATCTTTTGCAAAAGATTTGCCCAATGCAATGTTTTGTTTGAGTTCTCGACTGCTGCTTCCATGGGCATATTATATATATATATATATATATGTGTGTGTGTGTGTGTGTGTATGTTGTTGTTGTTATGTGCCGTCAAGTCAGCCCTGACTCATAACGACCCCTCCTTGGGTTTCCGAGGCAGTATCACTATGGAAGTAGATTGCCCAACCTTCCTTCCGAGGAGTGGCT